TAACTACATATATCCATTATATGGTAATACGAGTATTTAATACTATATTTTAACTATATTCATATAACTATATCCGTATACATTTTTCTTTTCTCTTCTTTATGTAGGGTCTTTTAAAACCAACCTCTATTTCTCGTCCGATGGACCCTTCCACCCGGTTTCCTCGCCGGAAGAGCATTTCCATCTTCGAGCATTCCACTCAACTTTTGTTTACTTAAACTTTTACCATTTTGGGGTAAGTGTTAAAGTGGCCGCCAGTCGCAAAAGCCTGCTGTTCCCTGTTGCCTGATCCTGGTACTCCCCTAGTTTCCCGAGTTCCCCGATTTAACCGATATCCCCACACATCTTGCAGTGGGTGGCAGACAGCGCTCCATGGTTGAGGTCGGGGATCTGGTCTCTCGGTCGTTTGATACATTTTACGGTGCCATTGGCAGAGCTGATTGTTTTTTAAATTGTTTCTGCACGCGATTCGTGTTTGTCGGGTTTATGGCTGTAATAGCCACGGCCAACATTGTTGTTATTGTTCTATCCTGAACTGGCCATTGTTGGTGTTGCTGCAGCATAATTTAATTTGAATGCATATGAGACCCAAAGTGGGTAATTGAATAAGTTTCGCTGCCGCCATAGCGCAGTTCGTTTCGCTTTTGCTCGGGTATATTTTTTCTAAATTTGATTAGCGCCGCGACTCGAAAAAGTATTTTGCACGTTCTCGAGAACTCGCGTGTGGAGGGGCCAACCAAGGGTTAAGGGTTCGTGGAGGGGGTGCAAAAACGTATATTGCAATTTATTTTCTGGCCAGCTTAGCAGGCTGCTTGCCACTCAAATTGATATGTAAACGTGGGGGGTTTTTTAATGCCGCCGAACAGTTCGCTGAGTGGAGGTAAATTTACACACTCGACTCGTGTAAGCTTCGATTTGTGTTTGTTTTCCGCAAAATTTCGGAGAGCAGAATAAATGAGCGCGAGCCACGCCCCCAAAAAATTCGATTTCAATTTCTGTGGCTTGTAATCAAAATCGATTCCTCATTTTCGCACACTTCTTCCCCTCGGCGAAATTATCAACGATTTCGCAACTCCCCACGTACGAATCGAAGGAAATTGTTTCTAATGAGATTAAGGTCCATTCATTTGCCGCATTACCTGATTATCTGGCAAAAAGGTTCGCTTAAGGTCAGACACTTGATTAGAGTAATCTTTTCGCCGATTTTCAGTATTTTGGTGGCTGTCATTGAACTTGAAACCGGGGCGGAAACGAAATCGAAGCATGTATTTAGCTAATTGCCTGAGAGCCGAATTCGCGGACCCTGCCTCATTAATCATGCCAAAAATGCATATTTCTGCTTAGGCGGCTTTTTAATTAATTTGATTAGCATTAATCGTTGCGAATGCGAATTATGAATCAATTTATGGCGGTGTTTCTCAGTCTGTCTTTTTTCCCTTCTCGCTTCCGCTTGTGGCGGCAGAAACGAGTTCGTTGCCTAAGTCTTTCGTTTCAGCCCTCTTTCTTCCCCGTTTCTCCGTCTTCCCCGCAGCATCCGAGACTTAATCATTTTGACATGTCTCGCCTTCATTTGCATAATTTTGAATAACGTTTAATGCCGGGACACGCCCCCAAAGTTACCGCTTTGAATCGGGCGTGGGTCGATCTCCGCGATCGACGATTATTGATCGAGCGGATCATGAATATGCAGAATGCGACTATTAATTGGACAGCTCACAAGATTGTTAGCTTCTTGAATACGGCAATGAATGTGGGCCACGCTTGGATGGCTTTGAAACGCTTAGTTACTGATATACACTGGGCAACACAGAACGAAAATTCGCAAATCATTGGCGTTTCGCTAAAGATTTGATCTGCCATGCTTTTTAATTAGTGGCTGACATCAATGAAACAGATGTTGGTAAAAGTTTTTATCAACTTCTCATAATTTTTAATGGTTTTTCTGGGAATGAAATTTAATTTTCGTATTGTTTTTAAGCCTTTTCTTTGACACTCACATTATCTAAAACACGAACTCTCTGCTTAATTATTAGTTGGGGAACAGACTTTCTTTGATTGATTTTCATGGCTAGCTGATCTCGGTCAGGATGACCTCATCTGGGATCACTCAACTCCATGTAAATGCCTCAGAACTCAATTAATAACCCACTAAGGCTATGTGAAGCCCCCCGAGAGGGCGGATGGGGAGGGGCGACCTACAGCAATGCCCATGCCCAGTCATGCTCGTCTTGTTTGGCTTGGAGCTCTCCTGTTTCGCCGACGGATCCAGCGGATCCCATCCAGCGGAGCTCTCACCACGTCAGCCAGACGGACAAATGTTTGCACAACACACGATAATGATGACAAGCCAAATTAGCTACTAATTTTCACACACACACGAAGGCAGCATGGACATGGAGATGGTCATGGTAAAGGGTCAGTTGGAGCGCCAGGACCTCACACAGCTGGCGTTCGTTAATTTCTGGCACCGGAAGTTGAGAGCGAGGGAGGTTCCCGGGGATCAAATGTTGGCTGCAAATTGCCATACATCAGCATTTGATTATCCTTTGGCCCGCCTAATTTTACCTCTCGGCTAATTTTTGGCCCCCTCCTCTTATTTTTCTTCCTGCTCAACGTCGATGTCATGTGCGTGTTGGTTTGTTTTTAATTTATTAATTACTAGGCGGTCCCGCCGTTCTGCCGACTTGGATCCGGTATCTCTGGGCTTCTGCTATTAGCGAAATTTCCTCGTCTCCATTCTGTGTGATTTGCCAGTTAGCGATGATCCAAAGCTAACGGTTTCCAGGCATGCCAAAAAGGCCGAAATAAAGCTAGATTGCGGCTGGTTTTGCAGTCCGTTCTTTAAAAGTTGTTAAAAAAAAACTACAAGTATTTTAAAAAAGTTGTAAAAAAAAAACTTAAAATTGTTCATGAACAGCGTTAGGAACAGCTTATAAAGTTAACGCAGCTAAGTAAATTTTTGTTTGACTTAATTGTTTTTTAAACTCCAAAAAATGCGAAAAACAATTTAAGCTTTGGAACTATTGATATCTTTTTATTAATCCATTGCCTTTGTGTTTTTTTTTTTGTTTTTTTGATTATGGCTTAAAAAAATCTTATAAGTATATTTTCTGATTTATCTCGGCTTAGCCACATGGCTTTTCCCCCCGCACTTTCCATGCTAAACGGCGGCTGTCAAGCGACCCAAACAACTGCCACTTGGCTACCCGAAAGGCCAGGGATCTTTTGGAGCAGAGCCAAGATCACCCCGGGTGGTCGGAGGACGTCACTCAAATTGAAGTCCGGCAAATGAGAATTGCCCCATACCGAAACGTGGACCGTGGAGCGTGGAGAGCGGGAAGAGGGCGGGTGGCATCCATATCCACTGGCCAATCTCCATCATCTCCGCCTGTGAGCCGGAGTTGTTGGATTTTTAATTAAGCGTGGCCTGCACCCGAGGCTTTTCGTCAAGTAGCTCCTCTCGACAGGGGAAGTACGAGAAGCTCTCGGCTCGGATGTGGAACAGGTCTTGTTAGTAATTTTTAATTTGAGCTCTTCTGACAGCCAGCTGTCATATAAATTTAATTGAATTTACATTTTTATTAATTGCCAACTGTGCTAGTGGGGCTCGGTGCTACCCGTTGGCATGAATGGGAGATGAGTTGCTCAAACTGACTGGCTACTCATCAGCCCAGCCACATCCACATCCACTTCCACTCTGTGAATGAATTTAATTTGAGATGATTTGTTGATGGTTTCGTTGCGGTGATTTCTTGCTGACTAATTTAATGTGATTTTTAAATTGCCAGCCGACCGAAGCTGAGTGTGTGGCCTGCGAAGGGGAATTGGAATCGGGGAATCTCCTTGGAAGATTGATTGGGCCTCTGGAGTTGGGGAGTCGGGGGAGCATTTTTACGGAATTAATGAGATGACACGCCTCTCTCTGGGATACGAAACCCCCTCGGGATCATTATGAACTAATCTAATTTGCAAGCCCGGCGATGACAATCGAAGTCGGAGGAGTAGGGCCCCTCGATCCTTGGACACATCCTCTGCTGTTCCTCCTCCTTTTTCTCCTGCCCATCTGCGCTAACGAGTCCCCCTTTCTGATCTTCCTTCAAGACCCCTTTCAGTTTAATTCGCAAATCAAACAACCGCAGGGCACAGCTCGGAAATTCGCGCATAAGTAAATTAAAAATAAATTTATGTCCAGGCCGTCGAGGGGCGCAGAAGAGAGATGGAGCATGTGTTAACCGGTTTCGGGACGATCGCGAATGCAAATCCAATTAAAATTTCCCAACTGCCCAATGGGTGGAGGGGGGTGGGCGGTCGGATCGCATCCTGCGACTGGCGCTAAGCCGTAAAACGAAGCTGTGCGCTGATTTAAAACACTGCGGGGCGTGCTTATTGATTAAATACAAATTGCATTCATTCATCATCAGCTCTAGGGGCTGCTTGATATTGGTGTTTTTTATTGTTGCTGCTTTGGCTGGCAATTAAATTACGATTTGAGGTGGATGTTCTGCTCGTTTCCCAAATGAAATGCAATTACACAGCCCCTGAAAGGAGAGACAAGTAAGAGGTGGCTAAATGTTGTTTGAATCTTATAACATTTGGCGCCAAGGGCTGCCAACTCGGTCAAATGGTTATGTTAGTGCGATTCCTTGGATGCACTCAAAATATTCGATAGCTGGCTGTGGGTTGACAATCGGAGAGCAGAGAGCAGATCTTGCATCTCCCTTTTTTACTGACACTTACGCTGAGGCTATCTCCCTTTTTTACTGACACTTACGTTGGCTTACGTTTTCTTGACACTTACGTTCGCATCTTCCATCTCCCTTTTTTACTGACACTTACGCTGAGGCTGTCTCCCTTTTTTACTGACACTTACGTTTTGCCGACTTACGTGTCGACGAACGAAAATATCTCAGAAAATCACTGATCACTGCAAGAGAAATATCGAAGTTGTCGATAATAATATCGATAATAATAATAATAATAATTTTGTTGTTAAGAATCATCCGCCACCGAGGCTCAGTCAGTTTTTTCGTCGTATTTATTATTGTTGAACCAAGTTCTTTGTTTTTTACTTACTGACTGCAGTTTGAATGCACATGCACTGATTACTAGACATATAAGTAAACATCAGCCAATACAGGAAATTGCACAAAGTCGTCGATGGCGTTGTAGATTAATGAGTAATTCGGCTATTTGAAAATAACAATAGTGCAATTCAATGCCGGAAAGCAGTGACACCCGGCCCTTGGTGGGCGCCCAGGACGAGGATGACGAGATCCTGGGCTCGGAAGGCAGCTTCGTTCCCGCCTTTCGTCCGCAGGATCACCAGGAGTACAACCTGGCGGATGAGCGATGCCTCCTGGAGCGCCAGCAGGACGAAGTGGTCCTGGTGTCCAACGAACCCACCAGCGGCCGCCTCTTCACCTACTTCGTGTTCTACCTGCTGGGCATTGGGACCATGACCCCCTGGAACTTCTTTGTGACCGCCGAAGATGTGAGTTCGATGAATGGAAAATTTCCACGCCCGCATCCTAGTCAATCGTAATGAACTTCGGACATGGTGGAATCCAAACAGCTGAACAACTGGGCCAAGCGCAATTCTAAGGCGCGCTGCTTATCAGCTTTGTTGTTGTTTTCTTTTACGACTACTGAGACGATAACTCTCATTTCTCGCTTTTCTTTGTTTTCCGCTGACTCAGGATTTTACCTCTCTGTTTCTCTTTCAGTACTGGAAGTACAAGTTTCGGAATGCATCGATTAACGCCACCGATCCGGACGAGGAGCTCACCCCGCTGCAGAAGAGCTTCACCTGCGACTTGGCTTTGACGGCCACTATTTCGGGAACTACCTTCCTACTGCTGAATGCCATTTACGGCCATCATGTGTCGCTGCGGACCAAGATGCTGGGCACGCTGTGGGTGATCCTCGTATTGTTTGGGGTCACCACTGGCTTCGTGGAGGTCAACACGGATACGTGGCAGGAGCAGTTCTTCCTGATAACGCTCATAATTGTGGTGCTGCTAAATGGTGAGTAAATTAATCTATTAATTAAACCTGTTTTTAACATTCATATTTTCAAGTATCTGCTGCTACCATGTCTGGAGCCCTTTACGGAGTCGCAGGACTGTTTCCCTCCGAATTCATCACCGCCGTGGTCAGCGGACAGGCCCTGGGAGGTATTCTAACTGCCCTGGCCTTCATTCTTGTGCTTGCTTTTGACACGGGCCCCAATACTACCGCTTTCATCTTTTTCATCGTGGGCGGAGTGCTCATCCTGCTGTGCATTGTGTGCTACGTCATCCTGGCGAGACAGCCCTTCTTCAGGTATTACCTCGAGGGTGGCGACAAGTACACGGTCATCCGGGCAGTGCCTTCGCACAGTCGGAATGAAGGAGCAGAGGGCTTGCCGCTCGAACCAATTCTGCGGCAGGTCATGTCGAAGATATATTTGCACGCCGCTTGCTTAGCGCTTCTCTACACTACTACACTGTCTGTCTATCCGGCGGTTACAGTGCTAATGCAGTCTGAGCATGAACACAGCGAGTGGACAGGTGAGTTAAAAATGGATTTTCCAAGACTCGTCTTTTAAACCGTTTCCTGTCAGATGTCTACTATTTGCCCGTGGTAAACTATCTGATCTTCAACTGTGGCGACTATTTTGGGCGTCTTTTTGCTGGCTGGCTGGAGCGACCCATAAACCAAAACACCTCGCTGTTATTTACCGTGGTGCGCATGGCGTTCGTTCCGTTCTTCCTGTGTTCCAACTCCAGCGAGCACAACTTTCTTCCCGTTTTGGTGAAGCACGACTACTCTTTCATTGCAATGATGGTCTTGTTTGCCTTGTCCAACGGCTACTTTACAAACATACTACTCATAATGGCACCAAAAAGTGTAAAGAAGCACGAAAAGGAGCTGGCTTCCTCAATTATGGCGGCCGCTTTGAGTTGCGGCATGGCTGTAGGATCGCTGCTCAGCCTGGTATTTGTTCAGATGCTGTGATCTCGCCAACACAATGAGTCTGCCGATGGTGCCTTAGGAAATTATAGAATCTTTAAGCTTATAGTGTCATTTTACCTGGTATTGTTTCCATATCGTATAAGTAAGAGGTGTTTTCGAAGTCTTTCTAATTCTGCTCAACTCTTTTTTTTATCATCTTTACTGTTTCATTTTGTTAAGATGTAAGTTTTAAAGTATTTTTATGTGCTAGAAATAAGACAATTTTTTAACCAAATTCAAAACGCTGCTATTTTCTTGGTTTAACGTTTATTTTAGTTTTTCTGCGGATCACAACAACAATGTGGATCAATTTTATTTGTTTTCCTTTTGACATTATTCTTTGATTTAACTAATGAACTCCATGGTAACATTGACTGCAAAGGGTTTTGTTTTTACAGGAAATCTTCACCAATAAGGTAGTTGCAGTAAGATAGTCACTGTTTCTGACTGCTTAAAGACTGAAAATCGATTTTTGAAAACTTGCAATTTTTAGATAGAAATAAATCCTTCGAAAGATCATCTTTCTAAGTGATCAACGAGCTGGCTTCTCCTGTGCTCTAACAATTTTAAACGAAGTCCAATGCTTCTCAGACTTTACACATCATCCCAAAAGTATGCTTCAATAAAGTGAGTGTTAGGCTAATGCAATCAATTTATTTAGAATATTATTCCTGGCTTTTCCTTCATTATTTCAATGAAATTAAAAGTTATTAAAAAGTAATATTTTATAATCCTGAAAAATTAATTTTGATCAATGTGGGTTATTATAGTCCTCAAAATATTATTAAAAGGGCAATCTTTCCCCATATCTTCTTCAATTTCGCGCACTGATTGGGGCACAAAAGCAAGCCAAAACAATTTGCAAAAATATCTGGAAAAAACCCGAAAAAATCGTGTTCCTCGTAAACTGTTTACAACTTCATTTAGTACAGGGCGAATAGTGTTCATGGGTATATCTTATTAATTTGTTAATTCATTTTACTAGTTATAAGTAAACGTTATTATAAATTCTTGCTAACATCAAGAGTTTTGTTTCGGTAAACGTTTTATAAGTGCCTTGGCAATATTATTGCAACAATGGGGTTCGGTTCCTCAATATGTATGTAGATTTATATATAACTCTAGGGTAAGTCTAAACATTTATTTAACTAGTTTAAGTTATAGGCAACCACAAATTCGTCAGTTGCTCTGCTCAAAACGTATTCTGCTCCTCCGTTATGGCCTAAATGGTTTCCGTATTTATTTTGTTTCCTTCGAAATCTTACGCTGCCCTTCGCGTTTCTGGTGTTTGACACCCATTTTGCTTTTCAATTTAAATCTCATTTTCGTATAAGTTTATGACGTTATCGTTAACTTAGCTTAACAAACACGCAAACAACGAACATCGATTAAAGCCTTTCTTTGAAGTGGGTTGGGGTTTTAGGGTTATCGAGCGGGGGTGGCATGCAAAAGATAGTCTGCGGTTAACAAAGCAACTACAACATCGACGGTAGGGATAGCTAAAAACATCGACAGCACACAGATACGGATGCATATATAGTTGATCGAGTAATGCTTACATACGTACAACACCAAAACTATTTTCGAATTTCTGCTGAGTTGCTACAATGTTATTTGTTAATGCTGCTGTATTGGATAAGTCAAGCCAATTACACAATTACACAGAGATAGACACCGAATGAGATAGACGATAGACAACCAACATCGACATCGATGCAAATACCGGGAAAACACACACGTACATACAGTCAGCATCTAGCAGCTAGATACCAATACTCTGGATATTGCTTGTTTGCTATGTGGATATATCGTAACTTGTGGAACACTCTTAATATGAAATCTACGACACACGCACATCAAAAATTACAACATCAATTGGGAGTAAGGGGACCACTGCGAGCGAGATAGAACGGGCTCTGGTCCCGTCCTTTGGGTCTTGGGTTGGGGGAAGATATTGAGTCGGTTCTTGAGTAAGAGTTACGGGAAATTACAACATCTAAGGTGGTTCTGCCGTCCAGTGAAATGTACTTTCAACATTGTTTTGATTATTCTCATAGTGTTCGTTTAGATTACGTACTCGTATGTATGTTGTGGGCTATGCTTGAATTTTGGATTTTGTTACAAGGCAGCTTGGGTTTATTTGATTCTCTTTCCTTTTGTTCATGTTCGATTACCTAAGGAGTGGTGTCTGGTCTACAACAAAGGTTAAATATACTCATCAAATTTGCATATTTTATTGTTTGATTGTCTTGAGAATGCGGCTCGAGTCTACAGTTTGGGAGTCACATAAGTCGGTGTGTGATTCCCCGCAAACTGCGAATGGCCTGTCGTTTTTCTTTTTTTTTGGTGTTGTAGGTTGTGTGCGACGCCGTCTGTGCGTGTATGTGTATGCGTTGGACCAAGGTAAAAACGGGGCGAAAATAAAATGGAAAAGTAGTGGGAAAACAATTCGATATAGAGTTTTATTGTAGCTTTGCAACAACTAATAAACATAAGAGTAGTGACTAAATCAAAAATAAATAGCAACCAACCGAAAAATAATTGACTAATTGTTGGCCTGGACTTGTGCTTCGGCATCCGCTTATAGAGCATTCGCCTTGTGTGCGCACGAGATTCATTCCACAGTTTTTTGTGCGAGAGCCTTAAACTAATCGTATAAATTAGATCGATTAAAACTGATGTAAGATACACACAACCACAATTAGCATTAGATAAATGGAGCACTCGACCTCCTTCGTATAGACAAATAAATTATACTTAGTTTCTGCTTCTGTTACGCTTGCTTGCTTAATTAGACACTCAGAGTTTCAGCGAAGTTCGAATAGGAAGAAACCGTACGGTTCGACGAGGGTTCTATGGACTGATGGATCCATATCCATGTCTATCCACACCATAGATATACACCAATAGTCACAGTATACAGATAAAGTACTGTAAAGTACGGATACGTCAACAGTTACACTACAAGTACATCATACATGCGATAGATTAACATCTAGTTTGTTCAGTTAGAAAACGCGTTTCGCTTGGGTTCCCCTTAGCAGTGGAGCTTAAGTCTAGAACTAGTCGAGGTCAGTTCCCGTCAATTAGGTGTGGGAGGGTAGGGTCTACTCCTCCGCTGCTTAAACTCTACGAAGACTTTTTCATTTCTATGTTTCTGCTGTAAATACTGAAGACTAACAACTGTAGAACCACAATTAATCCTAGGGACAATTGGGGGCGGGGAGAAAAAATCGTAGGGGCGAGGCCCATTTACGTCTTCATCTCCGCTGAGGCGGCGATGCTGTTGTGCGACTTGGCTGGCGAAATGGCCGAATGGCCACCGGCAGCACCTGCGTCCAGATTCAGGGTGAGATTATTGCCAGAAATAGCCGACGAACCGGAGCCCGAGCATCCGTGGTGATGGGGTCCGTGGAAGAGCACCAGGAAGCCATTGCTGGAGACGCAGCTACGCGATTCCGCCTCCTTGTCGAGGATTTGACGAGCCTGAGAATATTGAAAAAGGATGCACCCTTAAAAGGTTTATCATAATATAGAAGCAAAAATACATACCTTGGAGCGATGATCTGCCAGGGCATTGCGCACTGAGTCGTGCTGCTTCTGCAGCTCATCCGTACGCCGGTCAAAGGTCTGCTTCAGCCGCACCCGCTCAGCAACTCCACGTTCCACTACGGAGCTTGCCACCTCGCGTTTCATTCTGCCAGAAATACGTTAGTTAACCCAATTGAAAGCGGGTACGAAAGAGGTGCGCCACCCACCTGATCAGCTCATCCCGATCCCGGTGCACGGTGGCCAGATTCTTGACCTCGTTGCGGCGCGCCTCCTGCAGCTGGTGCATCACCTCGCCGGTGACCTTGTCCAGCGAAGCCTTCAGCTGCTTCGTCTGGCTGGCTTGAGAGGTCTTAAGCACCTTCTCGGCTGCGGAGTAAATGGCCTCATGATACTTCTCCTGCAGCTCGCGATACTGGGACGTGTACTCGCGACAGGCACTGCGCAACCGCGACTCTTGGGTGCCGCCATCCAGGCTGCTGCTCCCACCGGCCAAATCCTCGCCAGCATCGGCGGCTGCACTCTCCTCGCTGCTATCGCCCAGATCAAGAGGGCAGGCGGGGATCTCCACACCGGGCTCACTGTGCGGAGAGAGACAATTACTAATTTCAATGGCGTCGTCTGGCAGTGCCACACCCACTGAGAATCGCCCCGCCCAAACACTTACAGACTCTTGTTGCTCAGCCGCTTCACCAGCTTATTTGTGATGGCAAACTTGGGCTTCTTGCCCTCCAGCGGACTGGATTTCTGTCCGGCAATCTTGACCTTCTCCTTGTCGTGCTTCTTGCGCAGCGACTCGAGCTTCTTTTCCATCTCGAGACGCTTCTCCTTGACGGACTTGTGGTCCAGGATCTTGTCCAGGGGTTCGGCCAACACCAGATCCACATCAAACTGCGAGGACTCCACCTGGCGAATGGACGTGCTTACGGACTGGTCCAGGGAGTGCTGATGCTGTATGGAGGGGACCACGATGGACCCACTGTCCTCTCCCCTTCCGCCATCCGTGCGGTCCATGGTGACCTCCACACTCATCGCTGCCGCTGCCGAGATACTCGGCCTGTGCTTGGGCGAAGTGGCTAGCGATTCAACTGGGCGCAGCTCCTTTTTCTGGCCACCTACTTGGACGAAAACGACTGGAGGATCAGACAGAATCGAACAGAGCGAGTGGGCAAGGGAATAGGTTTAGAGGTGGTGCAGTTTGTGTGTCCGTCAACCGTTTTGAGTGTGGGAGTGAGGGTGGTGGTGGTGGGTAGTGGGTTGTGGGTTGGGTAGTGTTTGTGGTGTTGGTTTAACCAAATCCGAAAATCCAAAAGTACAACCGAAAGTTATATGAAACGTTACCAAAAAGAAAAGTAGAAAGAAAAGAAGGTAAATTAAAATCGCAACTCGAAGTGGGTGAGTGGTGCTACTCCTTACGGCTATTATAGTTTACTCACACGACTTGGAGAGATCCTCATCCGGTCCACCCACCGCTTCAGCTTCGTCCGTTAGAACGGACAGCTGAATATCGCGCTTTTCCAGCTCACTCTGGTATTTGATCGGATTGGCTAGGGCCTCGGCAAAATTGGAGAGATCATCGGGCACGTAATCCTTGACCACCACGCACAGGAAAAGGGAGGCCAGGGCGATGGGTTGACCCACCTCGGATCTCAGATTTACGTGTCGGTAGCCGGGACAAAGACCGATTACGGGCAAAACGCGATGACCGATGAGCTTGCCACCCTCTTCATAGGCTGCAATGCGAATGCTCGCCAGTTCGGGAAGCACCACTTTCTTAAACACAAACGGCTCCTCGTCGTAAACCGGATTCATTCCATTATCCCTGACCGTCTTTGTGCGGAACTTCTTCCGCACCGTGTCCGCTGGCAGTCCGTACATGTCCACCTCCACAAAAGTGTTGGCCCTCTTGTCCGTGAGGAACTGACCGGATAGAACCGTGATCGAAACTGTACCAGCTATGATGCCGTCCACGGTGCTCTCCGCAAAGGGATCCAACCTGCGATCCGATCGCCGCATGAACTCAGGCTTAAGGAGATACCCAGACCGAGCGTTGTACTCAAAGATGCCCAAGTTGAGCTGCATGGCCAGGTCGAGTGTTTGGAAGTTGAGAGCCACGAGCTGGCATCCCGCGTTCCAGAACAACTGAGGCATGAAGTTGGAGCTATCGAAGCGAGTGCCCGCCGGATAGACACGGGACAACTGGTGTTTGTTGTAGTTCACAAACTCAATCGGTCGCTCCTTTAACAGTGTCGTCGCCTGTTTTTCATCGAACGAGGACATCTCGTAGCAGCGATTCTTTTCTGTAA